TGTGACTTCCATAAAAACGATGACTTGTGTTGTGAATGTTGAAAACCTTCATCCAGACAGTCTGGGGCCACCCCCTGGCATGTTTAGCAATATATCTCAACTATAGCTACACTGGCACTTTTCTTTGGTAATATTCTTCTTTCATTGAGAACCTTATGCAGTTAAAGGTAGTGAAAAGTGAACACCGATATCCTAAGATAACAAGGCCATGTTAATTAAGATCAGTGTTAAGACAACAACCCTGTCATAGTAGGATAACAAGTGAAAAATGGTTTTCCTTTGCCCTTTTTTATATGTGACCTCCCTTTCTTCCAGAGGTAGGCTTTTCATTAAGCTCTGCCTTCTCATTTTCTAAACTGCTTCAGCTCTGTTTTGTATTTAAAGTGTGTATTCCTTGATTTTAAAATCTGCATAGTACACATTGTTTTCTTGGAAAGATGAAAGAGAATTGATATTCTTATTAGTGTCTCTCATTTCTCTCTCTGTTCATACACAAATGTACAATATTGCTGAAGTTAATGTCATACTGTGCTGCAACTGTAACAACCACTATGTAAATGTCTTATATTTATATTGATATAATTCTGTGAATACAGCTACCTATAAAACTGCTTAGCAGTGTGAGCAGCCATAAGAGAGGGCATATAATCCTATTTTACTGAATGCCTGTGACTTAATGGAGAATGACAGAAATGTCAGGCTTGCAGTTCTGTGAGGCTTCTTTGGGAAGGACTCTTCTGTGTTTGTGGCTGTAGTTTCTCCTGCTGTTTTTGCCCTCAGTTCAGCTGTATTTGCTGTATATCTTGTCTTAGTTACTTTTGTTTTATTGCTGAGACAAAATGCTTGACACCTGAAGTTAAAAGAAGAAAGGTTTATTTAGCTCACACTTTACAGACGTTATGGTCCATGATCAGTTGCCTCCAAGACAGGGAGCATGGCATAGGGGCAACAGTTCATGGTGGTGGATGACAGCAAAAGCAGCAAAAGAGGAAAAACACCTCTTTCTGTCCTTTATATTTTATGCAGTCTGCTGGAATTGGGGCAGTGCCAATCCAATAAACGGCTTGATCTAGCAATCACCCACCCTTAATCCCAGCATTGTACCACAGATCAATCACACACTCTAGGTTCAGCCACCTCCAAAAAGCCCAATCTAAACCTGCGTGACCTTTAGGGGAACATCTAGACACAAAGCATAATAACACTCATATCTACTTCTTAAAATTTCGTTGCTGTTCCGTTTCCTAGGTCTAGCACAAATACTTTTCCTCTCCACTTTCAGCACTTGAATAAGAGGTAGATATCATTTTCCTCCACTGCCACTTTGACTCAGGATAGTTAGAAATAATAAACACGAATTATAAATTTGAAATCCTTACCTTTGGACTCATGCATATTTTGCTGTTTGACTTAACAATTGCTGCATGAAGCTGGTTTAGATTGCTGTATCTTGCCTGTCTTACCGGGACTGGAACTGACAACTGGTTTCTTTCTGCATCATCATAAAATATAGTATAGCATTAACGGTCCTTATCTACTAAATCAAGGAATTCTCCTCAGAGGCTGCCCTCAGGCTTGAAAGAAATATAGGCAGAAAGAACTCTTTGCCCAATTTAAGCAGTAACAGCAACAAATCTGGCAGTATTAAGAAAAATTTTTTAAAAATTTTCTTTCTTTGAGTGAACCAGATTTACCTGGACTTATTTAGACTGATGGCTGCCACTGTTTCCTTTTTGTCAACCTGTTTTGTTCCCTGCAGCCTTCTGTTTAGTTATGCCCTTGCTGTCTAGAAATAATACAGGTCTGTCACTTAGCTGTCAGTGCCGGAGCTGTGGAAAGCAATGGAGCTTTTCAGAGTGGTTGCTGTGGGCCTTCCGGTTACCTTTGGAAATCTAATAAGGGCAAAGAACTTTAATACCTTTGTCTCAAATGCTTACTTAGACCGTAATAGTCTAATCAGTGTGTGCGGATAATGCCCTTAGGTGAGTTTTGTGGAAGAATAAGACTATTGTTAACTCCACCTGTTGTAGATTTTTATCCTCAGCTTATAAATATCTCTAACATTGGTTTTTCACTTGAACCCTAACAGAAGTGTCTACTTAAGACCCCATTATTTCTTAGAAATGTAGAGTTCCAAGGGGCTTTGGTAGGATCTGATGCAGAGAGGAAGAAAGACTTAGGAAGGTAAGCAGGTCATCAGGGTCATGTAACTCATAGGCTGCCGGACATTCCGCCCGCAATTGGTGATGACCGAGCACAGGCCCTATTGTTTCTCAGAAATGAATCTGTGAACCTGGTAGTGTCAGTGCAGATGGAAATAGAAGACCTTTATTTTCCTCCTAAAACTGATGAATTAGGTGGAATTAAACTAGATAGGTGAGGCTGTTGTGCCACATTGAGGATTTTAGTCTATATTGTAAAAGCAGTGAACAGTCTTGAAGCAAAGGATTTAATTACAGAGTGATAGGACCAAATTTACAGTTTTCACAAATCAGTCTGTCCTCACAGAATGGTACCAGATAGGAGTAGGTAAGATTAGGCAGTGGCCCATACATGGCGTCCTATTCTAGAACTCCAGCTTGGATTGGGATGATGCAGACAAATACAGAACAATGGAGAGGTTTAAGGGCTAAGTAATATCATAGCTTAGCTTATGACATATAGAGGTCATAAAATTGCGAGGGGTTTCCTGAGAGGTCTGCCATATGTACTGCAAGATCACCAATTGTGACCTAAACTCATCGTGTTTAAGGTATAAGCATTTTGTTGCTTATGGAGCCAGAGCTCAGAGCTAGAAAGTATAAGACAGGGTAGAGACAGAATATGGCATAGAGAGGAACAAGGAAACTTGTGTGTTGTGGATGTGTAAAGCACGGAATGAATCTAGCCATAGTTTAGCCTCTTCCTCCATTTATCACACTTAGCACGTACTGAACAGATATTTCTTGAACCTAGATCAGCAGAATGTTATTGAGTTTTTTGGAAATAACTTTATAGCAGCATTTTTAATTACGAGATTTTGCCTACATTACATATCAAACTTAGACCTATTTGTGATAAAGTGGGATATTTTGTCATGCAAAAATTCATAGATTTTCTTATAAATTCCATGAGATCCATAGTATCCTGGAACCACTGCCTGGTTAAAATTTTCTTTGGCCAAATGTCTCATACAACTTCTCAAACCTAACATTTTGAACTCAACTCCAACTTTGCTGTCTATCTCGTTTTTGCCCAGTTTTTTCCGTCCTGTGAGAGGCACTCTCACTGTTACTTCTCCTTCGTCTCCACATGTAACCCACATGTCTCCAGCGGCTTTGTCTCTCCAGCTCACACACAGCCACTGCACTGCTTCAGGCTCTCCCGTCTATTTCCTGAGTCACCAGGGTTTTCTCCTGACCTTTCCTGTTTTCTCCTCTTGCTGCCTTTTTCTGAGTTTTCTGCTATGTAACTCTTTAGGGATGTTCTTAAAGAGAACCTGGTCATTTTGCTCCCGTGTTCAAAGCCTTTCCATAATTTCCTTTGGTACTTGTGGTAAAATTCAGAATCGTTTTCTTGGCTTAGAAAGCTTAGCACACGTGGATCCCAGTCAGTGCTGCTGCTGTTGACTTGCTCTTCACTACTGCTACTCCCTGCCCTGAGTGGCACTGTGCCCACCTTTCAGTCGCTAACTCTACCCCTTCTTGTGATTTAAAATGGAATGCTGAGCCATTGTTCTTAGACATGTGACTCCATCTTGGTTTGGTCAAAGAAGGCGTCTCTGTAGGGCTGATCCTAAATCACAGAAGCAGCATTTTAAATTAATAAGATGACTGAATTAAAATCACAACTCCTTTCAGAATCATGAGATTTTATTTGCTGAAGATTTTCGACAAAAGAGTCTGTCCACAGGCCCAAATAATGCAGAATTTTAATCAAATGAGGCATGTATTGCAAGAAAGACCTCGGCTGGTCATTGATTCACTTAGATTTCTAGACTTGTTTCAGAAGTCCTTTTGGCTCAGCACAGCAGTGAATTCACTAGGGCTTCACATCTGCAGCTTGCAGGCTCCCCTGGGTCTCAAGGGTATAAAAAGGGCCTTTCAGGGCCAGGAGACATGGCCCTAGACAGCTGCAGTCTCACTTCCTAGTTGTCAAACTTGGACAACTCACCTTTTCCAGAACTCCAGTTTACTGGCTGTGGTGAAGATTAAATACATTGCGTTTGAAAACACCTTCCTCAAAATGCCTAAAAATACTAGTCGTCGTCTGCTTACAATATTTATTCTTAGGATGTAGGTATCAAAGTACCAAATTATGAAACTGCTTTACATCAACTTAGAAGCTAGGTAGTATGATATATATGCATAGTTTTGAAAAGAAACAAGTACACTGACCGGTTTCTTGATGCCTTCTTTTGCGACAGTAGGAAGAGAAAAATGATTTTGTCTAAAGCAAAGATAAATGTTATAGAAAATATAGTTTCATCTTGTTTTATTTGATCTTTTTATTTTATTCTGATGACAGCCTCAAGAATGTGGGAAACTTCAAAAGCGGAGTAGAGCCACTCACATTGGCACATGCAGACCTTTGAGACTTTCTGTTTACCCAGTGAATTTGTTTGTTTAAAATCCTGCACAGCAAAATATCAATGTGTAATTGAGAGACAGGCTTCCATATTGAAGCCTAGAATAAAACCCTAGGTCAGGGTGATTTCATACAGGTAACTATTAGTTCAGCACATGAGAAAAGAGAAGTGTATTCCTGTTTCATTTCTGTGTTCAGTGCTTTACATCTTAATTTTGTTACAGGTTTTGTATCATAAACTTGTCACTTCATCATCATCTTCCAGGAAATTTTTAGGCTCTAGCAGATGAAATCCAGTAGGTGTGTGAAGCTGTGGCCTGGATAAAGCAGTGGTTCATCTTTTACTTCGACCAAAAGTTTGTTGAAAGTACTTACTATAAAGATAATTGTTTGTTTTTGATTATTGGTTTTATTGTTTCCTTCTCTTTTTTTAGGATTATGACAGTTTTTTTGAAGCAAAAGAGAGCAACACAGTGCTTTCATTCTTAGGCTTGAAACCAAGGTTGACATCAACGGTAAGCTACTCTTTTCTAATTCTTTGTTTAGAACTCATCTTTCTTAAATTGTTAGGAATTGAGGTTGGAAGTGTTAAAAGGATACATATACTGTATAGTTTGCTAAATTTTTAATTTTTGTTTTTTTAGATACATAATTTTAAACTATACAGCATTAAAATATACAAATATACCACTTCTTTTTTAATTTTAAGTTGTTGCTATCAATTTAAGTATTAGTTTACTTATGATTTCTACCTGTTTTTCCAAGAAGAATTTCAGGCAGCAAAAAGTAATAGCTGTTTTTTATATTGAATTGCAGATTTATATTACAATTCATTGTCTGTATCAGTGGGTTCCATATTCATAGATTCAACAAACTATGGATCAAAAATACTTAAAGAAGTTACATTTGTACTAAGCATGTACAGATTTTCTTCTTGTTATTATTTTATGAGTAATGTATGACACCTGTTTACATAGCATTTGCACTATACTGAAGTAATCTAGTGATGATTTGAAATATACAGGAGTACATATATAAGTTACATCCAAATACTATGACATTTTATATGAGGTGTGAGCACCTGCAGATTTGATGACCCCATGGCTACAGTACAGATGTAGTTTACATTTCTTGAAATAGCAGACTCAGAGCCGTATCTGAAAGGTCTTTTGCTGTTTAATCTACTTACATTGGACAGAAGATGGTCTACAGTAACAAGTGATCAGCTTTGAAGAAAACTACTGTAATCCTAAATCAATCATGGTATTTTAAAAGCCTCTTTATTACATCTTTTGTCTTTGAGGACTCAAACTTGTCACTTGTTTAGGGCTAAAAAGCAGAAATGATATATATTTTCACAACTTCATTAATTATGGATTTACTTTCAAGCTAAAATGGTATTAAGTAAAGTAATATTTTCATTTATTTTTAAAAAAGCAATTTTTTTTCAAATTATAGAAGTAATCTGAACTCATTTAGAAAAATTAAGAAAATACACAAAAACACAAAATAGAACGTAAAAATGACTACCCAGAGATAACCACATTGCCTTTTTGCATATTTCTTTATGGTCTTTATATATACAATAATTAAGGTTTTGACTATATTTAAAATTGAGACTGAATTGTAATTTTTTTTTAGCATAGTTGAAATGGAAGTGCATTACTGGAACTTTGTCATCTGTAATAGGTCTTTCAAGGCTGTGCAGGGACTATCAATAAGATAAATTATACATCAGCATCTGCAGCGTGGAGCTGGTATAAAAATCTTGCTTTGTTTTTACATCAGTAAGTCCCCAGATGGTTGTGGGTAGATTCTGCACATGTTTTAAGCAGAGGCAAAACCCACACACAAAGTAGTTACTGGTTCTTAGAACTATTTTTGTAAGGATAGAACATTTAGATACTTGTTAGGAAAATGAATATTTTTTATAATGTGTTCATCCAAAGATATCAAACAGTTCAGATTTATCTTCAGAGAACTGGAAGAAACTGGGATAGAGGTTATGTAAAGGATACATAAATCCAGTAGGCATCATTGTCTGTGTAAAAACCTTTTATAAAATACTGTATGATTCCTATGTTTGTTACATTTTCCCCTAAAGGTGGAGATTCCCTAGAGAATGTGCATCTGCAGGCTGACATTTTTAAAGGGCAGGGAGCTGTCATGTCCCCACACCCACAGCCACTGCCAGGATTCACTTCCTCAAGGCTGTAACATCTGTGACCTCTTGCTTTTTCAAACCAGCCAGGAGAGAGAGCCTGTTCCTAGCCAACTCTGCATGGCGTGCATAATGGTGCAAGGAGGTAGGACAGGACCCCCCCTCCCCCGGGACAAGAGACAGGGATTCTCCAGTCCTAATCCATCCCTGCTGCTGATGTAAGTGACGGTGTCCATTTCCCCGCCCTCTTGTGTCAGCAGTATGTGGAAGGCACCTTCGCCGTATCTTCCTTCCCTCGTTGTAAGGGCCAGGTGCACAGCAGCTGCAGGGGTGCACCTCCTGTCTCCAGGAGTGAGAGAAATCACTGATCCAGAGCCTACATTGAAGGAAGAAGTCTCTAAAAAATGCCAGATTCACGATCCAGTAGAAAATTTCCAGTCCTTGCCCACCCCAGCAAGGCCAGTAAAGTTTGCCTCTGTTCCCTTTAATGGATCGACCCTATCTCCCTGAGAGCTGTGTCCTTCAGTGTTTCTTCCACTCAAGCCAAAGTCTCCTTCCCATTCTCTTCCTTCTTAGTTGAAACTTTTACCTGTAAATTCATGCTGTTTCCTCAGATTTTAATTTTTGTTAACACAAAAGCAAGTTCCCATGCATGTCATGCCTCACCCAAGACATATTTGTTGTGTTCAGTCTGAATACCTAACCATAATTTTAAAAGATGTGTTATCTCACTGAATTCTGAATTGACTGGCTATGTGACGATAGTGACTGTTATATATCTGTATCTCTATGTGTATCTGTCTAGTAGTTTTTTTGTTTTTAATAGTACATTCAGTAATTTTTCCAATTGATTTTTTTCCATTCTGTTTTGTAAATTTTATTTTTAAAAAATTTCACGAAACCAAAAACCTGCATATCAAACAATTTACAAACTTAAGATTTAAGATTCAATAGACCCTCCCCCCCCAGCACACTGAACTCTATTGGATCTATAAAGCATACGTTCTCGCATGAATGACACTCATGGTTGTAATGCCAGTGAAGTTGACCTGATTTCAGTCAACCAATCCAAAGGCAGGAAGAGCCAGAGCATCCCCCTCACTGAGCCTTCCACTTTCAGGTGGCTGAGTCACCTGTCCTGGGCTGAAGCATTTGGGACCAGAGCAGAGGTCCGTGTTCAGTGCCTGTGCTGCTTAGAACAACTCTGCAACGTACATTCTGTGACTTCTTATTTTTAACCTCAGTAATAATTCATTGTATTGTCACAGTCACAGGCTTTCACTGAGCATTCACAGATTTAATGTGTGGAAGATGAAGCCTCCTCTTCCCTCCTCTTCCCTCCCTCCCTCTTCCTGCTGTGGGATATCCACATGTAAGATAAGACTGGAAAGCCCACTGAGACATTATAAGAATCTGTAATTGCTCTGCACAATAGGAAAGGAACATTCATGGGCCCTACAGACCCAACTGGGTCTAGGCTGCTCCCCAAAACAGACGTGACAGGGGAAAGAGGGAATCTCCAAATGGTGGGCTACAGACCACATTGGCTCTGCATGTATTATTTGACCAGCATAGAATTTTTGAAAGTAAAAATTAAATGCATTGTAATATTTAAAAGACTGCCCATATTTCTTGGAGGTGGAGAGCTTGGAAACTCCAGGGTCAGGGAGCACTTTCCTTCATGTCTGCCTAGAGCCATGGTAGATGCCCCCTACCTCTTGGTACATACCTAACCTCAGCAAAAGAGGCCGTCTCAGCATTACTTTTCAGATAGAAACCCATCAAGTTTGTTATTTTAGTAGTCTACGGGGAAAGCCTATTGTAGAAATTTCTGCTTCCAGGTCCCAGTCATTCAGCAGTAATACTGAAAGGGTGTAACAGCTGGCAAACCTGCACACTGGCCAGCCAGTGCCAGGATGGGTCACAGAGCCCTCTGGGCCAGGTCATAGTGGTTCAGAGACTGGTTCATGAGAGAGTGATGAATTGGCATTTCGGCATTTGGGACACTGACTGTTTACTACCAGACATGTCCACACCAGAGCTGTCCTTCATCTAGGGTCACCATTAACCCATAAGTCTGCTGGCTCCTCAGTGTGGTAACACTCATCTACTCATGAGCTGATACCTTTGTGAGAGAGCCAACAGACTGTTGTACACTGTTATATTGGCAGGTTGGATGGGTATGATGTAAATCTGGGCTCTGATCCTAAAACCCAGGATGTGCTCTTATTAATCATATAGGAATGATGTATTATGATTTCCAACAAGTATGTTCCTGACATTTAAAAAAAGTCACTGCCAAGGGATAATTTTCTTGTCAATGCAGTGCAATCCAATAACTGGTACCTTTTTTTCCTTTTTACAGGCAGAACCCTAGAGGAGAAAAGTGGGAGGTGATGGAGATGCATTTGGAACAACACCTCCTGGTACTCAGCACACACCTGCTTACCTAATGCATCACTGTGACAAAAGCCACACGCACCACCAGTAACTTTGCTTGCCATGGAAATGGTGTTTTGGAAGATGGGGGTATAATGGGGATTGCATGATTGCTTTAAACCAAATCAGGACTGTGGTGGGTTTGGGGTTTTTTCCCTCCTTATTTTCAGGTTGTCCTGCAGTTGCCTCATCTGAAAGTGCTGTTACCTGTTTTCAAGATGCTTTTAATAACTGACAAATAAGTGGGGGCACTACCAGGAAGAAAATGCTAAATCTGCCAGTTTTGTAGCAGATACAGTATTATATCTGTGAGCTTCTTGGACTGCATTTTTGACATTATCTGCCAGGCTATTAGAATCTGAATGAGAAAGAAAAAAGCAATGCTGATTGAAAAAGATTTTTCTGCAGAACCACAGACATCACTCTGCCAATGCTTTGTAACTGCATCTGTTGAAAAAGTTGTTCTAGAGGTTTTTTTTTTTTTTAAATTGGAAACTCTTATCCCTATGAATCCTCTAAACTCCTATATATTTCCAGAAATCATAGTTGAAATATAAAATCAGTGCCACCAAGTTACAGAAATGAAAATAATTGCTATTTTGGAAAATACATGCTTCTTTATCTCTTGGAAGGGCAAAGTTTCATGCACAAGACTGCTTGAAAGATATATTTTAAGAGGTGCACAAAGTAGCTAATACATTTATAGGAAAACTGTCAGATCAGCATCTGAAGGCAATTTCAGCTGTAGCATATATTTAAATATTTAAAGCACATATATTTAAAATGCAGCTCCCCTAATGGCTGCTTATTCTATTTTGTGAAGGGATTCTATTTTTTTGAGAAGGGAAGATCTCAATTAGTTGTATTTTATGAACCTGTGATGAAGCATATTAAAAGAAAGTAATATTGCTATACAATTAAATTTTTTTTTCCTGTGTTACTTTTCATTGTTCCTCTACCTTGCTAGTGTTTTTTCCAGCCCAGTCTTGGACTTTTCTGAGTAATACAGATACATGTTCTCGTTCCATGGATAAGTAAAGTGAGTGTCCAGAGCAGCGTGCACGAGGAAGGGCTGTCCAGAAAGTATCTCTGAGTTGTGCTTGGCAAGCAAAATCTCTCCTCCCACTGCAGTGGGTGCTGATAAACACCGAACATGTCTACTTTACTAGGGCAGAGACTACTTTTCTGTGTCCTTAATTTTTAGAGTTTGGAATTGCCAAACATGGGAACATCCTTGACTAGGATAAACTCTCAAAGGGTTGACTACAAAACTCAACTATTCCAGCTGTCCTGATGCTAGACCTGTCATTATGATTGTGAGAAAGAAATTCATGAGATATTGAAAGAGCAAATGAATAAAAGCCCTCTCCCCCATCTCCTGCTTCACGCTGTGCTAGATGTGGGAGTATTCTGTAGAAATTTGTGAATGCTAAAACTGAGACTTAACAGTCCAGACTACAATCAGAAGAGCATGACAGAGTTCTTCTGGACTAGATTAGATACATGATCCACAGTTTTCTCTTCCAGGGAAGTTTTTGTCAAGTCATGAATGTTCCTGATTTGTTGGTGTTAAAACAAGACCCAGGTCAAATTCCATTTGATAAATCCCAGGGACTATGTAGGAATTTTTTTTCCCCCCTAACTGGTTATTGTGTTTGAATATGTGAGTTCTCTGATGATACTTAAAGTTTCTTTTTTAACATTCAGCAATTTTAAAAATTGTTATGTTGTAATTACTCACCTTGCATTTATTTATTCTACTCTTAGCAGTGAGTGCTGAGGATCCACTTGGTAAGATTAAAGCTTTGCAAATTCTGGGCATGAAGGATCAATACCATGCTCGCTAGACAGAGGAAGTGACCAAGATTTTTCCTAATAACTTTTGAATTAACTAGTATGATTATGTTAAGCATACTAGATGGATAACAGTATTAAAGTACTACAACTTTTACATATCATCACAATTTTTTTTTGTTTTTGGATCAGCAAAGAAATACACGAGAATATCCTTCAGTGCTTCCTGTGCTCATTATGGGGGAATAGAAGCACAGTGTGTGGGGTTTACCAGAGTAGCCAGGCCCCGCAGAGTCCTGGGCATTGCCCTCTGGGACCAGGCCATGTTCACAGAATATTGTGACCTTACTTGTATTCTTCTACCAGCTGAATTCCAAGCATGAAATAATGATTTTATTGTTCCCTTAGTTGCTTTTATTTAGATTTTGATAATCACAGTCTTAAAAACCTAGGAAAGAAGTGGATTTATAGGCAGACATATAACATCAAGGGCATTTCTAGGCAGAATTTTAATTTCTTGTATTAAACTCTTTGGGACACAGGAAGCGTGATACTAAAAATCAAAGTATGCCATTTTAAAAACAGATAAAATATAGAGTGCCATCCTGTTAGATGTATACAGACAAAATGAAAAATTAGTTGGGAAAATGTTTCAAATTCTGGTATCTTACTAAAATCAAAGAGAAGAAAAGAAAGGTGTTTTGCCCTTAGGCTGTAATATATTTTAGATTTGTTTCTGTTGTATAGATTTAATTCAACATGTGCCTAGATATTTTTATATTACATGAATTTAATAATGAACTAAACTTACTTTTGTTTTTTATTATTGAAAAGTACCAAAGGTCTTCCAGTTTTGATTGTTTCATTATGTTTGATTTTATTGTGGAGTTTTGCTTAATAGCTTCTCTGAAATGTCAGAATCCACTTCAGTCTCCATAATTATTGTTTTTAGATTTCAGTTAGTATGTGTTTGTCTCTAAAGACATTGGAGAAATCTTAGATTTTATGTTCAGCGTTAAAGGGAAATAAATTCCAGAAAATTCTGAAAATGGAGTTTCTATTCCCTGCCATTTCTGAGATTGACCCTAGTGCTAGTTTTGGTTCAGCTGAATTCTTTGTTCAGTTGGGAAGCTGTGTGTCTGCTCCCTTCCATGAATGCCATGCGTGTAAACTGTAGATTCCTTGGTAAAAACACAGGAGTTGTGTGACCATTCAGGAGCCCCCTGTGCATCTTGAGAGACTCCCCAGACAGCAGCCAGGGCTGAGTGTGCAGGGAACCGTCTGGCACAGGGACAGCCACGCCTGGTGGATGTGTCACATTGTTGCTTGCAGAAACAGGATCAGGTGGCCATGACTCCTTTGATAGTTTCTCTCTGAGAAAGCTGCTATCTCTGGAAGCAGAAGACACTTTTTAAAGGGAATACTGAGTCTGATCTCATCAGTGTTGTTTCAAACCTTAAACCCTCAGAGAGGAGAAGGGTAGAGGAAAGGTTCAAAGGGAACAGACATTTGCAGAAATGTACTAAGTCACAAACCCAGATAAGCAAAGTGACCACTGTCTGCATGTGACCCATATTTCCAGAGTTTCCCTAGGTCTGGAAATGCCTGTCAGGTCAGGTTAGTCATCCTTACTGTCCACATGTATTGAGCCCTTAGAATGTGATGGACCCCCAGAGCAAGATAATAGTGTCCACTATCAGGGATGAAGGAAGTGGACACAAAAACAGCAGTTACAGCCAAAGGTCAGTGAAAGAGTTAAATTGCAGCACTCCAGGCTACGCTACATCATCTCAAACAATGTCTACAGTCTTTGTCGCTGCTGTTGCTGTTAAAACCATCCCAAGTTTTAAAGTTACATATACCTACAAATGCATTCATGTGCATTATATGTATTTATATATATATGCTAAAGTTTAAGGAGTAATAGTGATAAGCACACCCTGTGTGTGCCTGCCGCCCACCTTCTGCCTTTCCTTTGAGGCACTGTGCTCTTCCCTGACCTGTCTTCTGGCCTGTCTGATCAGAGTCCTGTCTTGTGTTTGTGTTGACTGTAGGCTTCCTGTCCTTTATCATTCTGCTTCTATGTATGTATACTTAAAGAATAATAAATGAAATTAAACTGGATTTTTGTCACTTTTTTATGTTCATAACAGTGTGAGTTTTCACTGCTGAATATTTTTCCATTGTATATCATAATATTTTCCCTTCTCTAGTTGCTAGGTATGAACTGCATGTTTGTTTGAAATAGATAAAAGGAAATGCTGCTATGAAAATTCTTTTATGTGACGTCTGGTGCACAGGAGGGGTGTATACCTTGAAGAGAACTCTTGGATTGGACCATATAAGCACATTCTCACCTTCAATACATAAAGTCAAACTACTAGCAAAAGCAATGTTCCTACCACTATAATAAAATTTTCAGGACTCTAGATCCCAGCCAACCTTTGAGATGACCAGAGCAAAATTGCTGCCAAGCTGAGGAGTACAAAATAACATCTTACTGTGGTTTCTTTTGGCATATTTTTAGTTAGTAGAATGTTGAACATGTTTATTGTGGAAAATCCTGCTTCTTGGAAATCCCTCTTCATGTGTTTTACCTTTTTTCCTATTCAATTGTATTTTTAGGTATTAAAGTTTAAAATTTATTTCTACTTACCTATATTGGCCAATATTGATTTTATTTTTATTTTCCTATTTTTTGTGTATGTGTTTGTATCCATGCATTTAATTACTGTAGCATTTGGGAGCAAACCTGTGAACTTGGGCATGTGAGGTATGCATTCTTCCCCTGAGCAGTACCCAGATTCCAAGATTTAACTGTTCAGGAAAGTCAAGTCAAAAGTAGAAAAATCTTCTGAACCTATTTCCAGAAATATGAAAAGGACACAAGTCTTTATTCCATATACATAAAGTTAAGTGCATATATTCTGTGTTTTTTGTGTGCACTGATATTCAGCTGTCTACGTGTTAGCTGAGAGGTGCTTTGAAACTCATTCTGCTTTAGGAGAGTTCTTTTTTGAGGCTCTTTTAAGGCACTTAGTTGGCAGGAAGTTAATGTCATTTGTATTATGATTGAGTTTTCTGCTGTATAATTTTACCAAAAGGAGAACTTTATATAGACTTCATGTTTATAGGTACATATTTCTTTAGTATGTCAACATATAACAGGCCTGTAACGTTAGGCCAAAATGGTATCATATTTAGAAGAACATTGAGCAGCTATTTCTCTAAGTCATCAGAAAAGGTACTAAACCTCTACGTCTAACCAGATAATCCTTCTTTTGAATGAGGTGCATCTGTCTTGCGCTGAACATAACCTACTGTGTTGTGGCAGCAGCCAGTTCACATGTGTGTGAACTGACTGAGGGTAAAAGAACAAGGAGCCAGACTGTCATTTTGCTGTCCAAGGCTCCTGCTAACTCTGATGATATTTTCAATAGATCGAGAACACTGGTATGTGGAAGTATATTAACAGGCAACTTGATTTTTCTTAAATTGAATTGCAGAAATTTAGATCTTTTTGTGAGCATGCTGATACATCACACTTGGTCCTGTAATAACACACTTACCTCTAACCAGCATCTCCCTGAAAAAGCTGCAGTGTAGCTGTCTTCACCTGGTGTCTGAGACTGAAGCTGTGGCACAGCACAGCACTGTCCAGCATGGTACCAGCACTTGTCACCCAAGTGGAGTTTGAGATGTATTTTATAGCCCATATTTTACAGACTTAGTGGAAAGATTATAAAATATCTCATTAACAGTTTTTATGTTGATTATATATTGAAGAACTTCGTATATATTAAGTTAGATATTAAAATTTTTACCTTTTCCTTTTTAAAAATCTCCCTAGGAAATTCAAAATGACATGTATTACTTGCATTATATTTCTAGTGGGCATTACTATTCTAACCAACCTCTTTACTTGAATTTACACTAGAGAAATAGACAACTTGTATTTTAGTTTTAGTTTTACCAAAATTGCTCCTTGATTTGTAAATGAAAGGAAATATGAACATCGTTGGGAATATGATTTTCTAATACTGTTGTCAAGATAAATGCTTTTCTCATTTTCTTTTCTACCCCTCTCGCCTGAAGCATTTTTGTGATGAAAAAGGAGGTTCTTTTTGCCTGGGGAAACAGGATTAACAGTGATATCATGAGTTGTCATACTATGTGACATCTCTCTATAGGTCTAGTCATCGATGTCCCCTGTTGTATTGGCCTATTATCTGTGAACAAAGCCACAGTGGCATTTTTATATTTTTCTTTTTTTAAAAAAGGATTTAATGAACCACACTGATACCATCTGTAATCTGCAGGCCGGTGATGAATATTAATAGGATTTAGTCCTAGATCTCTCAGTATGTGTAAAACTCATTTGAGCTCATAAGAATGTGTAGATAATCTGCCTTTAAAAAATTTCTTTCTGGTCTCATTGCCAAAGATTAAAACAGACAGTTGCACATATAATTGGAAAATTATTCCTTTCTTTGCCCAAATTTTTATCTACTTTCTTTTAGCTATTGCCCTAGAGAAAGTAATTTTGGGGAGAAACCTATATTGTTTGTGTTTTTAAAATACTTGACAGTAACAGCACTCACTAAGGAAAGGAATTTTGTGTTTCTGTTTTTCTGTTTGGGTGTCATCCCTTAAAATAAGAGAATGATCAGAGCATTCTCAAGAGTGCAGGAGCTGCCAGCCGTCTCTGTTGCGTACAGGTACCTGTCGTGTTGCTCTTGCTCTCTGTCATGCTAATGAATAATCACACCTGAGCAGCATTTAGCTTTTAGAGATGGCGGAACAACTTGACCAAGATAAATATGGTTTAGTTTCTTGATATTAAACTAAGTTCTCTCATTTTTCTCCTGCTGTTCCCATTCTTATATGCTCTATCACCAAGTTGAAATACAGATTTGGGAATTGGAAGATACCACAGTTGGCTCAGTGACTCACTCCGAGATCAGAACCAGGGCTAGTAGACCCACAATTTGGCATTGACTCTGCTACCCTAGCCCAGATTTACCTCTTCCTCACTCTCATCTCGGTGTTAGACCATTTGCCAACAGTTAGCTCCCAGCTAACCAGTAAGGGAAACACAAGTGAACACCACAGGCTGGGAAGCACCTTTCCTTACTGTATGTCCTGTTTTATATGCCTAATAATGCTTACTGTCCTGCATCCTTGTTATAAATGAGAAACTAAATACTGACAGGTTTTATAGTCCAGTAACATGATAGCTCAGAACACTTTGAGCAGTGACTTACTTAACAGCTAAAATGACTGTAGCATTCAGACTGGGAATGACTTCCAAAAGACAACAGGCAACCCTTCCCAATCACAGCTCACTAAGGGAAGCCATTCCAGAGGACCCATTCTCCAGGGGCAACTTCCCTAGAGCCCCCCAGTGTGTAAACAGTTCCATCTGCTGTGAGGCTGGACGTACTGCTGGAAGCAGATAGATGGAAGCAAATGACACGTTGGTGATGAAGGAATTTGGAGACAGATGGTGCCCACCTCAAGCGACAGCTGTCTCTCCAAAATGCATGTTTAGCAATGTGTGTATTTTTAGGTGTTGAAGAGAGATCTGTTTAATCTAGTATTTCATCCATTCCTGAAAAGTGCTTATCAGTCATCCTCATGCAAATGGCCTGCTGTTGGGTGGAATTTTCAATATGATGTTATAATTAACATTCTAATATTTTGCTGATTGAATTTAATATCTCATGCTACTTTGCTTGACTTAAGAATCCCCAAATAGAAAACCTGTGCTAAAAAGTCACTTTTTCTTTTGTATCTTTTATTTGATTAACATCTGAGAAAGGAGAAAATTAAGTCTTTTATATATTTCAATAAAGGCGTAATCACCCAATCACCAGCTTAAGCCCAAATATATTGTTTTAAAAAAAAAAAAAGATTGTTTTTTGTCTTGTATTAACTTACATTTGCATGATACTGTTGAAGGAAGTATATTATACATTGTAACCTGTGAGCGTAAATAATTTAGTGTTTAATACTTTTCAAAGTTCATTTTTGGGTGTATTTTATTTGGTTTGGGCCTGCTTGTACTAAAAAAAGCAATTACTTATATGTCTTCTTTTTATTTGTATGCAATAAATGTGTTGTAAAAGCTAATTCTACAGACAGATGGAATGTATGGTTTATTAGTTTGTGTTTACCAACCTATTTGATACGATAGCTATGTACTGAAAAGTCTAGTCCTGTTGTATCTAGATCTTTAGACTCCTTCTATCTTCTTTCTGTGGACAGTTGCCATTTAATAAATTTGAAAGATGTTGCATTCCATGTCAGACTAATTAGAAGGTAAATATCACACAATGATTTAAATAGAGGAAGTGAAATAAAAGGAATACTAAACTCTGATAAGAGAATGTCTGTTGGATATAAGGAAGCTATATTTTGTGCTCGAGGTGAGCGAGAATATTCATGGAAGGACAGGTTTGAGGAAGGCTGGTCTTAGCCCTCTTTAGAGAAGGTGTGGTGGCAATCCCTGGAGGGCATGAAGTCAGCTGAGCAAACAGGAGGTGACCTTCCAGCCAGCATAAGAAAGGGCCATGTAAGCCACAAAACAATGGCCCAGCTTGTGTGCTGGCAGAAGGGTGGTGGCAAGTGTAGACAGGGAGAGGAGTGCACTGCATGTACACTAAGGGGCTGGGGCAGGCAGGTGTCAGCAGGCTACACTGAAGTGCAGGGTCCCTGGGTATGTTCAGGGATTTTGAGCTGAGACAGAGCTGCCTCACTGTGCCACAGCAGCCATGGCAGGAAAGACGTCTCTCTCCTTGAGTGTCCCTCTTGTGCTGCCGAGGAAGCTTAATGCCGTGTTTACAGTGCAGGAGCAAAGCCTGAGGGTATGCTGTCCTTTATCATAGAGTGGTTACTACAGAGCAAATTTGGGATTAAGTTGTGGTGAATCAGTGAGTAGCACATGTCTTATAAGGATTCTGTGAAGGTTTTCTCGTAAAGACTTCTCATCTAGAATTCGCTTTGTTTATTAAGAACAAAAGGACTTTTATGAAGGTGTTGGAATTTTGAGAAACAAGCATAGTGCTTAAGTGTATACTTAAGATTTATTAAGTCCATTCCTCATGTAATCACATAATTGGAGTAATGTGCACTAGGCTATTTTTTTTTTTTTTTAACTTTCTATCGGTACCAGGGATCAAACTCACGACCGCCTGCTTGCAAGGCAGGTGCTTATGCCGCTGAGCTAAATCCCCAGCCCCAACACTAGGCTATTTTTAAAACAATGTTCTTAACCTAGCCGTATCATCTCTTTAATTGTAGATCAATGAGCAACACAAATGTTGCCAATCAGCTTAGGAATCTTTTGCTCAGTTCAAATAGAAATCATGAATTGGCAAAAACTCAACTCTGCTAGCAGTCCTGATGTCACCAGTTGACAACTGTCGGATAATACTGGATGCCAGTGGTTCTCGCTGCCAGCTGTGTGGTCCCTGCAGCTGACAGCTATCACTGTCCAGTGCCGGCTTGTGCTGGATACCATAGATTGACAGCTGAGTACTGGTCTCTGAGGCTCTTTGCTGTTTCCAGGTGAGTTTTTATTGCTCTTTCTTTAGAAATGGCCATTCTGTCCACACCACTCAGGATAAAAATCCCAAGTAAATTTATAGAACTTTTGGAACTCAGCACTGCCCACACTAACAGGCTTACAGGAACACCTGCACGAGTCTAAAAGCCTGTGCTATGGCACAGAGGGTCAGTACATAGTAAGAATCCTTCATAGTCTGAAGGACAGTGAGATGGTCTGAGCTGGTCCACTGAGGGACAAAAGATAGCAAGGTGAAGGGAGGAGAGGGGTAGACAGCTGCTGGCCAAATCACACATCCCCTGCAGCAGGCACAGGATAAAAGAGAGGAGCTTCTCATCTGTCTCACAAAGATCCCAATTGTTCTATAAAGGACAGAGATACTGGCTCTTTCTGTTTTTAGTATACTATTGTGACAAATAGAAAATTGAAGAGCCACATGTAGCGCACACCTGTAATCCCAGCACCTGGGAGACCGCGGCAGCAGGACCACTGTGAGTACAAGACCAGTCTGGGCTACATGGTGAACTCAAGACTAG